AGGCACAGAAAGGGTCTGAAAAGATTGGAAGGTTGCAGTTTGAGGTGCAGACCATTGACTATGTTCTACTGAAGCTGGAGGGTGAAAGGAAAAGCAAAAAGAAAACCAGGTTTCCCATGGTTAAAACAGGTGTTCTCTTGAGGGATTTCATCTATAATGGAAAACACAGCAGGAGGCGGAAGAAGGGTTGCTTCTGTGGGTGTGGAAGACCTTCAACCAGTGGAGACTGAGGTTGGCATGCTGAAGCAACTAAAAATTGCTTCTGGATACAAAGGCCCTTGAATATTCTGTTACATTATGTTTAAGAGATGACATCCTTGTTGGTTAGAGCAAATCATAGCAAGCTCTTAGAGTTCAGGAAAACCATAACAATTAGAACTGATCTGTTCATAATAAGCTACCTCCTTCCGCTTTTTAATCTTGTATCGTGTTGAAAAGCTGCATAACTTGTGTCTATCCGTATGTTTTGCCATTGTTTGTCTGTTTGCCTCCAGTAGATTTGAAACATGCAACTGAAGAACTTCATCCTAGTTTAATCCTATTTGAAGGGCAGGAACCCTGTTATTTTATCTTAACAGGAATTCAAAACAGAAAGCCATGATTATTTTCGATGGCTAGTCTGTTCTTTGAAAAACAAGATTTGCATTTTTTGTCCAGAGCATGAAATATCTGCCATGAAGTTGAATACAAGAACTCAACCTTCAGCAAGAAGACCAAGGACAACAGGCTTAAATTGTCTTCCAGAGAATAGAGTCATCAACAAGACTTGCAAGTCATTCTCATGCACCCTTTATACAATTCCTCAACAGTAAATCCGACAAAATTAGGCTTAATCTGAAAATTCAACTTAACTCAATTCATTTACTATGAATAGGTTATAGATCTAAAATATCAATTTAAATTTTGATATAATGTAGACCAAAATTATTTAAATTTAATTGAATTGAATCAGCGTTAAATTAGATCAACTCAAAATGATTAAATTAAATTAATTAATTTTTTAAAATTTAAATTATTAATTAATTATACTTTTAACTTTATGCTATAAATATAAGATAAAATTAAATATTATAAAATAATTATTATTTACTAAATTATTAATATTAGTATTAATTTAATATATTTTTTTGACTAAATAAATAATTAATACTAAATTCTTTTTAAAAGAAAAATAGAAGATATATTGAAAAATTTTAAATTTTTTAAAAAATTAAATCCAACAAACCCAATTAAAAATTTTATATGAATAAGTCATAGATTTACCTCTTTAACCTAAAATTCAAAATAACTCAATTTGATAAATTTAAAATCTAAAATAATTCAATCCAAATCCACTTAATCCTACCTGTTCAACAGACGTACTCAAAATCAACCTTCTCTATTGAAATATTAAACAGAGCTTGTATTAGCAACAATTTATACTTGGTATTTTCTTTTAATTTTTATTTTTAATTTTTAAATATTACAAATAAAAACATTTAAATTACGAATAAATTATTTAGATTTTAGAATAACAACAACTGTCACCCATCATTAGCCATTCCCCGGCAAAGGAATTGGTACTTCAGGATAAATTTCACCAATCCAAAAAAAAAAAACCTCCAGTGTAAAATCAGATTTATCCATCATTTTTTATTAAAAAAAATTTGTTTATTGGCACTTTCTGGTTCTCCAAAATTAGAGAATTTAGTCGTTCAATTCACATAAATTAAAAGAGAAAGGAGTAATTCAAAAGGCTAAAAAAATCACAAAATACTCACAACATCATCAATGTGATAAATAGACTACTTTATGCCACACAGTGATAAATTGTCAGCTCGACTATTACAAACATGTTCTTAACATAACCCATTGGAAATTCTCTAATCAAAAGTTTCCAGCAAACAAAATTGATAAATAGAACTCTTAAAGCATATAAAAAGCAAGACAATTTAAAAACCCTTTTCATTTAAGCTCCAACAACCTCAGTAGGCTCAGCCATTGTCTCATCCACAGGCCTCTCCAATTTCACACCAATGTCTTCTGAGTAATCACCATGAACCTATATACAGAAACATAGTAGGGAGAAAAAATTAGCTATAAACAACAGAAAAGTATGGATTCTTAAGAAGTCACCACTAAGCATGTAATAAATATAAGATATAGAAAGCATACCTCCATCAATTTTCCAAGATCAAACTTTGGAGCCTTCAAAATTTTAACTTTGCGAATGAACACATTTTGAAGAGGATAGATGCTTGAAGTTGCCTTCTCAATTTCCTTGCCAATCATCTCAGGGATGAACTTTTGGACTAGATCCTTAAGATCACATGATGTTGCTTGGGCTGTCATGATCTCAACCATCTTCCTGCGTATCTGAAAAAAGGAAAGCAACCTCAGTTAGTCACCCTCTAATTCCTTCACCACATTAGAGAGAAATAAAAATTGTAGTCTATGTCACCTGTCTTATTTGACTGGATTGTGCATAACAGGTCCTCTTGACCTGGTTAGGGCGTCTCTTAGTGAAACCAATGCAGAACATTCTCAAGGTGTAGTTGTCAGTTGTCTTAACATCCACATGAGCTTCAATAAGAGTTTGCCATTTTCTCACCAGAGACCTCACTTTGTCAGTAGTAAAATCCATTCCCTGAAAATTTCATAAATTTGAACATGAATAAGGAAAGAAAGTTAAATTACCACTAGCCATACAGTAACCAATTTTTAAAAAAGGCAATTATTAATAACTTATACCCAGAAGTTTGTCAAGACATTCTTCCCTTGAACATCTTCAGCTCTCAAACGGATCTTTCTGTATGCATGATCCTCATCACCACCTTGAAGATCAGCCAGTGAGATCTCAAACACACGATGTTTGAGTCCTTCAGAGGCAATCTGTCATCAAGATAGATAAGCAAAAATCACTTGTAAGCTCTACCAATCAAACAATCCACACAAACAAATCAATCTGAAATTTCCTAGCTAAATGCATTGGGATGCACAAAATAAAATGTATACACTTGCTAATTGTAGTCAGCATGAAATATCATTTTAACTCTTATTCATCTTATGGTACAGCACACTAACTAAAACAGCAAGAACCAGACTAGATATTCTTTGTTTGAGCATTAAAATCATTGCTAGTTAGAGGGAATGGGCAGCAGCAAGAACACTTGACTATACTAGTCATTTCACAAGAAGGAGCACATGACTCTCTGTAAGTCCATGATTGAAGCAGACGCCAGAATTTCTAGCAGGGAAAATCACAATTACTCGACAATATATCATCCATTAAGCATTACAATTTAATAAAAGAACATTTTAGCATCAACGTACAGGTGCATTTCACATTTTCCAGCTAGCAAAGCAACATTCAAACAATCATGGGCTAAGATCCAAATCTCATATGAAAATGTACCACAAGCAAACTTCACTGAATTGGCTTACCAAAATTAATCAGCTATCAGTCTATAAAACACATTAAGCCTGGATTCATTGGTACAGAATGACTAGAAATCTTATAAACAAAAGAGCTTCATTTTCTTCTCCTACGTTTTCAGGCAGCCAAACGAGAAAAAAAAAAAAAAAAAAAGCAGAAAAAAGACAACTCACCTTGGTACCCTGAGTCCGGGTAACAAGGGTCTTGCCCACGTTTCTGGTGGTGAAAACCGATGGGGCCTTGATATCATACCAATCTTTCTTGGCAAATGGATCAGTTCTGCACGAAACAAAACAACCCAAAAAGTATTCAACATTAACCCAACAGATCTATTCATCCATTATCATCCAATGAGCAGTAAGGGGTTTAAATTAAAGAGCTTTATTCATGTTGGTAATACTCACGCCTTCTTCTTGCCTCCCTTCTTCCCCTTCGAAATCCTCTTGTTCTTCCTGTGTTTACGAGGAAAAAGAAAATCAGTATATAATGAAGAAGAGAAAAATCCCAGAAAAAACCTCAGCTTAGAGAGAGAAGTAAGTGCATAGACATGAAGGAAGGGAGAAGAAAAGTACCCGACGGCCATGGCTGAAGCTTTGGGTAAGCACTTGCTCTCTGAAGGTAGGCGGCAGCACCGATACTCCAAAACCCTAAAGATGTGAACATTTTATATAGCTGCGAAGATTTTCTATTTGGGCACATTTTTATAATTACTTTACTAGTCCTTAAATTTATAACACGTAACAATTTAGTCTATGAACAATATTTTGTTGTGCTTGAACCCCGAAGGGACAGCAACGGCTGGGCCACAGGGTGCAAGCCCAAAGAAGTCCACTAAACTAAACAGTACCAAAGATAATTTCATCAAAGCCCACTAGGTTTGAATGAAATTGCAAGCCCAAGTTCTGTTGAGGTTCAAAAATGAAAGTGCAGGAGGCCCAATTGTTGGATTTGGTTTGGGCAAGTCCCATTTTATTTTCCACTCAACTCATTTTATACCATTTTTTTTTTTTGGGCCTTCAACTCCTTTTTATCATTTCATCTTTTCTTTTCTTTAATCGCTTATGTTATTTACTTAGGAAAAATTGTTTTTTCAAAATTGTGAAGTCTGATTACTCAAATCACAAAAATATTGTTAGTGGAAAAAACACATGGTTTAAATTAGGGGTGTTCACATCCGATCCAATTCAATTGATCTGACTTAAACTTATCTAATCCAATAAAAAACTAAACAAAACTAATATAAAATTGAGTTGGTTTGGATTATAAAATTTTAAAAACCGATGTAATTGGTTTGGTTTGTAATTTTACTTTTAAACTGTCCGAACTGCTCGATTACAAAATAAAATCTGATTACACGATAATTTAATTAAATAATGTAGTATATTTTTTGTAATATTTTAAATTTTTTCTTATTTTATAAGATGATAACTCTATTATTTAATTTAAAAATAAAAATAGAATATCCTAATATTCTTTAATTTATTTTCATTTCTAAATTATGCACTCTAACCCTAATTCTAAATTTCTAATTCACTTACAACTCTATTTCTTATAACTAGTCTATGACTCTATTTTGAAAACTCAAAATTTTTAATTTGTTTTTAAAATAATATTCTAATTCTCCTAACTAAAATTTAAAAAATATCATTTTAGAAGTCTTAAAACTATATAATATAACTAATTTTGATATTTTACTATTTTTGGATTTTTGGTTAAGAAGTTTTAAATTTTAATTATGAATACTTCTGATCATTCCTAGTGACATTAATGTTAAATTTTAATTACTTTTAACAAGGTTTGGAAGATAAGATTTAATCATTTGCTACATTAAGAAAAAAAATTAGTTTTAACTTTTAAAAATTATTTGTACTGTATTTAAAATTTAAAATTATATTTTATTATCCTTGATGCCTCTAATGATATAGTCAAGAAGAATTTTCAAATCTTTTCAATCTTTACAATTGTAAATGAATATAAGAATTTGTTTATAATTTATGCATTTTATTATGTTTCTAGTAATTTAGATGTTAATGTATTTTATAGTTATATTTTTTATTTAATGTTAAAATTTTTTTATATTATCTCATATATTTAATAGTGTTAAAAACCAATCAATCCGACTGAACCACATCGATCCGATTTTAGTTGGATTGGTTTAGTTATCATATAATAGTGAATTGAATTGGTATAAAAATTTACTAATCGATTAAATTAGATTAGTTTAAAAATATTAAAATCCGAACCAAATCACACTGCAAACACCCCTAGTTTAAATGTAAGATTGATTACTCTACTTATAATTAGGGTTTTCTTTTAATGTGTTTTAAGAAATATATTAAGAGTGTAATTATTGTATTTTT